TACAAAGAAAGAAACTCAACGGTATTCGTCAAAGAGGCGAGCACCTGGAGCTTTCTTGGTTGGGACTGACCCTCCCCCATGCTATAGTGACAGGAGAGGCGAAAAGGAGGTTCCCCTCGATCCCTCGCTCCGCCGACGGCTGGATCGACGGTTCCCTCCCTCTCTGGCCGCTACTTCAGCGACAGGGGAGTGGGGGGACCTCAGATCTGTGCTTGAAGCGTGTAGATAGTAGGGTAGTTGTCTCCGGCGGCGTTGGCTGTTTTTTATGTATGTCATCTTATACTACCATCAACAACATAAGTATACGTGAGTATGAGACATGCACACAAGGTATATTTGATTGGGAGTGGATGAATCTTTGAAAAGAGCATTAGCGGAGACGTGCGTTGCACGTGCAAGCTTACTAGTATGGATATAAGGGAGAAATATCTTCCGATTTTCAATATGACCCGGCATCACCAATCATTATAACCCGGTGTCTACAACAATCATGAACCGGCATTGGCAACAATCATGAACCGGCATTGGCAAACAATCATGAACCGGCGTTGGAAACAATCATGACCCGAAATTATCAGTTTTTATAACCCTGCGATTTTGGAAATCATAGATCGGCAAGTTCTACATTTTCAAACCGGCTGAATATCAGTTGAATATTTGAAGACCAATATTTTTGTCAGCTCAGAGCATTGAAGGCCAATTCAAATGGATTCTTTATTTACAAAATATCTTCTACAAGAAAATTGATTATGAAGCTGGTCTATTGACTCTGATTTTTTAGAAGGAAGAAATGACAAGAATTTAAGGATGATCAAGTGCCGGTTTATAAGAATCTTTAACCCGGAGCACAAGCCGCCAAGTTTGTTCTTGTGTTTATGTTGCAGATCAGTTTAACATGGATAAATCCAAATTAAACCGGGGGCTAATGTCGGGTATATAGCCCGTGGTGTAACCCGGCCGGAAGTATAACCCGGCCGGACTGGACGACTCACTAAGTGACCTACCCGAGCCTGGAGTCTCATGGGTGACCCGGCGTGTGGGTCAGAGGAACGACAAAACCCGGTGGCCCAGAAGGCCGGTTCATGTTATGGTGGGCCGGTTTATGAGGAAAGCACAAGGAATATTCTCCTACAAAGGAAGCAAGACTAGGACTTCACTTGTAATAGAGTAATCCTAATCCAACTAGGACTAGTCATGTAAACCGCCCCTCCAACATATATAAGGAGGGGCAGGGCTCCCCAAAGAGGGAGGAGGACAAGAAACAATATCTAGGGCTAGACACAAAGGGAGAGCCGGCTTACTGCGGCGACTCTCTCATGATCATAATGAGACCTAGCCACAAACAACATGTAGGGTTATTACCGGATGATGTTTTCCGAGGCCTGAAGCTGTCTAAACCCTTGTCTTGTGTCGCATCTCTCGATTCCGATCAACCCCTCTCAAACTACTACATAGATGCGCTGGCCTTGCGACTAAGTCCTTTTCACGAGGACATCTGCCGTGACGATTCCATGACACATCCCCTCACATGATCGCCCACCGTCGGCCCGATCTAGGGGACAACACGCATCCAGTGATCGACGTTCCCGCCCGTCTGTCCGGTACGTGAGGCATATGCCACGTCAGTGTTGTGCACTGGTTACTCAGACACCACACCACCCTTTTTTACGTATTCCTAGGCCACACGGATGTTGGGGCGGCTGCCGGAACCCCCCTCGTGCGGCTTCCCGGACGAGAGGTCATCCGGTGCCCCGACGGTCTATGGCGTTGACCGGCACCGAGGGGGTAGTGGTAAGTGATATTTTAGTTATTAAAGCACATGAAATATTATACACAAAAGGAGAGAGCCAAAAAACAAACATTAAAAAAAGAAAGTTGACATAGTATTTACCAAGAGCCAAGTATCGACCCTCGGTAATACTTAGCTTTACCGAGCGTTCCTCCCGGTATAGTTTGCTTTGCCGAGTGCTACTCTCGGTAAAGGTCGTAACCTAGGTAAAGGATACTTCTCCTTCCATAGCCGGTAAATGTTTGTTATTCTGTTTGTTGCTATTTTCATCATTTTTACATGCTTGACTAATCACCTTACTATTATTGTTACACTCGACCGAGAGGGGGTGTTCCGGCCGAGCGGCCACGAGGTGGCCTCGGACGGTCTACGGCGCTGACCGACACCGAGAGGGGGTAGGTGTCTGCCACGTCAAGGATGTGCATAGAGTATTCATACACCACACCACCTTTTCGTACAAATGCCTGGGCCACACGCATGTAGGTCTAGTTGCCGGACCCCCCTCGGGCGGCTTCCCGACCGTGTGCCCTTCCGGTGACCCCGGCGGTTTATCGCATTGACTGGCATCGAGTGAATACCCACTTATCCATGTTATGACTCTCGGTAATAGCTGCATCTACCGATAACCCTCTCGGTACAGGTCCTAACCCTTGCTCTAGGGGTCTTCTCTACGTTTGTAGCCGTGCTCGGTAATAATATTTCTCCATGTTGCAAGTATCTCTTTCTATCTGGTCTAATTGATTTACTTGCCTTGGTCACTGTGGCATAAATAATACACCTTACATAAAGGAATGGAGAGAATAGTGCTTAATTAACTAGAAGTTGAGATTCGGAAAAAATCTAACCCAAAACATAAGTCATCAAAAGTCATGGTATTTTGACACTTTAGTCATTAAAAGATATTAAATATTAGACACAAAAATAGAGGCCAAAAATCACACCCAAATAAAAAGGAAAATAGAAGTCATCAAAAGTCTTTACCGAGCGTCGATATTCGGCTCTTGGTAAAGTCTAAAGAAACTGACGGCACCGTCAGGTGCGAACGAGCATGCCACGTTGCTAGTCTTTGCCGTGTGTAGCTCTCGGCGTACGTAGTGTTTGCCGGGTGTAGCCGCTTCGCCGGGAGCCTCTCACGGCAACATGGGCTAGTTTGTCTGAACCCATTGTTGCCGAGTGCAGCTCTCGGCATACGTAAGGTTGCCGAGTGCCCGAGATTTGGCTCTCGGCAAATACTTGCACCCGGCATACAAGCAAATTCCAATAGTGGCCTATCCTATTATGACACCGCCATCCAAACCGGTTGAATATAGCCCATGCTACCATCTCGTACTAGTTGCACCCAGTAACCAAAGGCTTCTGGAGTCCGTAGGAGTGAGTAAGGACCACGTACGGATCCATGTCGTAGCTCAGAAGATGACCTGCAAGAAAGTTAAAATATATTGTCTGTTAAAGATCATATCATTCCTGCAATTCCATATAGCTAGCCCAAACAATCGCAAATATTCCAATCCAAGTACGAGACGCAGTAATATGATCTACTCCATCTAGTCACATCTCAAATAATGCTTCAATGCTAACTGGAGGAATAATGTTAAAGGCTATATGAATAGTTTGTCAAAGTAATTTCGCGAGAGGTCAATCTATGAATAGGTATTGTACTCTTTCGTTATGATCACAAAAACAACATCGTGCACTTCCTACCCAACATTGCTTTAGTAAATTAGCTTTGGTGAGGATCACTTGCTTGTGGACAAACCACATGAAACTTTCGATACGCAAGGGAACCTTAATTTTCCAAATATGTATTGATTTTGGGATTGAGCCAGAATTAATTAGATCCATATACATATATTTGACCATAATCACTCCACTTCTGGTTAATTTCCAGTGAAAGGAATCAGGTTGGTCGGATAGTTGAATCTCCATCAACCTCCATACCAAGTGTAGCGAGGAGTTCCAACGCTCCCCAACTAAAGATCTCCTAAAATGTATATTTAAGGGTACCTCCCTAGAACATGGTTATATGATAAAAGTATGTGGTCCAAAATGCAATTTTCGGCTATATGATAATGGCGTACAAGTATATGCACATAGAAATTAGTTAATTAGATTTATGTTTCAGAGGTAGTCTGGGTTGCCAAAGCGTCATTCTCTGTTACTCAAGACGGACGAGATATAGCGTGATGCATAACTTGGTCTACTGACGGGATGACAGGCAACAAAGTAGCAGTCCATTTTTATCTTTAGCTTTACTATTTCCCTGTGTATCTTTAAACACAGCAAGCAAAGAATATAATGATGGATGCGGTGTGTGGGAAGCAAGGAATTCACAGCTTTTATTTAGAGAGACAAAGCACAAAGAAAAAGCGCTCAAAGCAGGATCCGGCTTGCCTGCTCCCTCCCCGTGCTCCCATCCGTGCTCTCACTTCATCCTACGGTTGTCTTTTTTCCTTTTTCCTTTCTAATCTAATCATCTTCCCCCCTGATTTTAAGGGGGTGGGGCCGGGCCTTATTTTGTTCCAATCAAATCATGCCACGTATGCGGGAGTACGGATGGGCACACACGCGGGGAGCAGGCAAGTCTCGTCCCTCAAAGCAGACGCAAGGAATGCCACCACATATGTGTATGCATGCCCCGTTTCCTTGGATTCGACTTGCCTGCTCCCTTCCCATGCTCCCATCCGTGCTCCCACTTCATCCTACGGCTGTCTTTTTTCCTTTTCTTTTTCTATCTAATTATCCCCCCTGATTTTAAGGGGGTGGGGCCGGGCCTTATTTTGTTCCAATCAAAACAAGCCACGTATGCGGGAGCACGGATGGGCACACGCCGGGGGAGCAGGCAAGTCTCGTCCCGTTTCCTGTACTTGCTAGCTAGCGAAGCTACATCCATATTCCTTCTACGCAAGGCACATGTCTCCATGCAACTTCCAGTTTCCTGGTCCACCTCATCGATTTATCTAGGCTTCTGCCAGCGCCGGAATTAATCAAGGTACCAACCCGAATCATTTTGTATACATATCTACAGATTAGTTAATTCCTTCGCCAAATCTGTACAAGTCACCAATTCTTTAACGAGAAATGATGTTAACTTGTTCAAATGTGTAGGAAAGGAAGGAATTTGCTGCCGCACATCGTTTGACATGAAGCTGCTGGCCTTGTTGCTAAGTGCGAACTAGATCCTAGCCAAAATAGTAGATTGGTTTGATTCATCATGCCTCCAGAGGTAATGTAACACTCACCTTTATCTTCAGTGATTAATGCTGCAGAGTTGTGTCCTACTTTCTTAATTTCTTTAGTTAGTGAGCTGTGAGCTCCAATCGGATCTTCAGTAGTGGTATGCCCAACAATTAAAGGCCATCATGGCGAGAACTTTTTCTCCTATTTATTTACACTTGCTTCTGCTAGCATTTGAAGTTTGAAAAATCTATAGCATATTCAGTGTGGTCTTTGGCACTTAATTTTTTACAAGTTGATCAGTGATTATGCAGTTATCACTCACTTGCATGATTTTATATGCACCACTTGATCCTTGCTTTTATTTGTGTTCATAAGTTATGTCTTAATTGATTTATGGGTTTTTTTAGTTATGATGCGCATTGTAGTTTGAAATGAAAGACTTGCAGAAATAAAGCTAAAAATGGCGAGCCTCATTTGGTGTTATTCTTGTTGAACACTGCAGAAGATTAAGATCCAGGCAAAAAACATTGATGCCGCAGCAGGAGAGATAGTTGATGTTTTGGAGGATGCACGCAAAGGAAACGTTATCTACTTCAAGGGCTGGAGAGGATTGGGAGCATCCACAGTTCTCAATCTGGTAGCCCAACGCCTGAAATCATCAACAAGATCGAGCAAGTTTGATAAGGTTATCCATGTGGACTGCTCCGCGTGGAAAAGCATGAGGTCTCTGCAAAAGGCAGTAGCGGAGGAGCTGGAGCTTCCGCAGTCCGTGATGGCCATCTTCGATCAGTATGACAAGGACGACGACTTCAATGGGAAAGATGAAGGCTCCAGAGAGGTGATAGCAGATATCAGGATTGAAATATTCAGAAAACTCTATAACAGTAGATTTCTGGTGGTTTTCCACAACGGAAGCAACAGATACATTGATTTGTATGAGTGTGGTGTCCCAGTAATATCACTTTTGGGTAACAAGGTCTTGTGGACCTGGCACGGGAGGTTTCGGATGATTCTCAGATTAGAAGATGGGGAAAAGGTAAAGATGAAGAGTCAGACAGATGTTCGCTTATCTGCTTCTCCTGAATCTGAAGTTGAAGTGCTAGATATACTGCATGAAGAGGCTTTGGATGTTGCCAAGTGCACTGGGATTGTTCAGCCCGACGATATGAGCCACAAGATAGTCATGGAGTGCCTCATATACAGGGCACTGATTGCTACAGATTTGAAGGCCCATGCACCAAACTATTGGATCTGTGATGGTATTATACAGGGCCAAGACAATGCATCAGCATGGGATATTGGCAATTCTCTGCACAGAAACATGTGCTTGGATTCACCTGTTATAGGATCTGATGAGGCTGCAGCTTTTTTGCTACATGTATTGAATGATTCACATGTTAACCGCTGGAATTTCACCACTCACAAAGAACTGCGAAATGATAAAACTCATGTGCTGCCTCCACAGGTCACATCGTTCTTCCTTTCTGCAGATGAACCACCAACAAATACAACATCAATATTGCCAGTTGGCATGTTCCAACATTCACAAAGTAGCAAGCTGCGTGTGTTACATCTGTCTCATTGCACCTTCAGTTTTGCATCTCCTCCATTCGTCCATTGTGCCCAACTAAGATTGCTCCATCTGGACCATTGCACAAATATCACAGATGATGACGAGCATCCAAGCCACAATGAAGACATGTCATGTTTCCAGAAGCTATGGGTGATGGATCTGAGGTATACAGAATGGTACTGGCTACTGTCGGAAATGATGAAGAGGTTGATGGTCGACCTCAGGGAGCTGAATGTGGAAGGAGTCAAGCATGGGAGCATAAGTGATTTGTGTGGCGGTAGACCAAGCCTTGTAGTACTTCGAGTAACAGTAGCTGATCCGGTCCCTATGGAGAACGAAGACACAACTAATCAAGCACATTTCCCCAATATGTCTAGTACAAACAGCCTTACGACATCTAGCTTCATCAACGACGTCCTGCCTCCGTGGCTCGAGTCATTTAGCTTCATCAACATAGCTGCAACTGCTGCCAACATATCTAGCATCTCCTTCCGGGGTTGTTCTCGGTTGAAGAGTATACTTCTCAAAGGAAATTTGGGGAGCCTGCAGGAGCTGGACCTCTCGGGCACGGCAGTGAAAACCCTTGACCTCAGAGAAGTGGAAGCTCCAAACTTCAAGCGTGTCATGCTGCTGGGCTGCGAGAAGCTCCATGCAATATTATGGCCAGCGTACGATGAAATGGTTTGGGATTTGGAGAAGTTGCACATCAGCACTGTCCAATCTGCATCACCTAACCAGAACAATTGGGAAGAGAAGACCAAGGAGGCTAGTGTTGCCGGAGGATCATCATCCATCCTTGGTTTTGGGGAATCGCAACTAGGCACCGGGCGTATTGCATCTTTTGACTTTAATTGGTACATATCTGTTGTGGATCCAAGGCTCATGTGGTCGCTTCTGCCCTTTCAGCAAGAAATTAAGAGAAACTTTGTATACATGGAGATTGATTCATCTCCTGCCAGTGGAGCTGCTGTTGGTGGCGGTGAAGTTACTCAAGGCATCGGGAGCCAGCAACAGTTTGCTCAATACTTATATGCAAGTGATGTCTTTCAAGAAGAACCGCAAGCTATCAGTACTATCGAAGGTGTGATCAGCTGGATGTGGGCTTGTCCACCTACTGCTACTCCACTTCCTCAAGACTGGTACTTCCACATGCAAGACGAAGAGAAGATGGAAAGAGGATCTTTACAGCAACAATACAACGCCCGAAGGATTGATACTGGTGTTGCTTTAGCCCCTGTTTTCATGTGTGATAATGCACGGATGCTGTATGTGCATGATAGCTATTCCACTACTTGCATTCCATGCCCACAAGGTGCAACGTGGAGGAATCTTATATGGTGCCGAGTTGAGAGGTGCCCCAAGCTTTGCTCTGTCTTTGCTACTCCCCAACTAAGAAGTGGGGAGCACACCTTTTTCTGGCTGTCTACACTCTGGGCATCCCAGCTCCCTATGGCGTGCTACATCTGGAACTGGAGTACAACATACCAACCAAGTGGAAGATCCTTCGAAGACCTAGTATTATTGCACCTGGACTATTGCCCCAGGCTCATACATGTGCTTCCCTTGTCTGAGCATATGGACATCCTGCCTAGCCTGGAGACGCTCGAGATCGTGTGTTGCGGTGATCTGAAGGAAGTCTTCCCTTTGGACCCTAAGCGCCAACAGAAGCGGGAAATTATAAGATTTCCCACGCTAAGGCACATCCACCTGTACCAGCTCTCCACTCTACAGGGCATCTGTGGGAGCAGGATGTCTGCGCCCAATCTTGAGACCATCAAGATTAGGGGCTGCTGGGGCCTTAGCCGCCTGCCGGCCGTCAGCGGCAGCGCCAGGAAGCGGCCTAAGGTGGACTGTGAGAAGGACTTGTGGGACAACCTGAAGTGGGACGGTTTGGAGGCGAAACACGACCCTTCGCTCTATGAAACACGCCACTCGCGATACTACAAGAAAGCCCACCTGCCAAGAGGCACCGTGCTCAGGTAAGATATGTTTGGTCCATGTCTCATTTCATTAGTAACTTACTTAGTGTGCTCGCCAACTTACTTTTACCATTCTATCTGTACTAGTCTAGTTCGGATACTATGTATGTTTAAGGCATCAATCTTATCATCAACGATTTGTTATGCTTCATTGTAGGTAAACAATTCCTTCCATGATTTGAGCGCTACAAGCACGTCGATCCTATGTGCTACGACGCTTAATTAGCTGAAGCTTTCTCTGGAGTGTACACGTTTGTGTGGATTGCTGTCTTACTTGATGCTGCTTGATTGGTCCGTGTGAAATCTGCATCTGCATTGCCATGGTGTGGCGGTGCGTCTTCCAGTTCAATTTGATTTGCTTTGGTTTGGCTTGGCTTGGCTTGATTTGCTTTGGTTTGGTTTGGCTTGATTCGGTTTGTTTGGCACAAGCTTTGAGACAGAGACAAATAAATAAGAGAGGGCATTCAGCTTGGGTGGCATGAGCACCCTGCCTGCTCCTGCTGTTGCTCTCCATTTGTGTGTTGTGGTGTGTGATTTGTCAGCTATGAACTGATGCGACTTTATGTTTTGTTTTGACTGATCATATAAGCTTGTAAAATTTGGACCCGTTTTCTCTTTGACTGGTTGTTGCTGGAAACCGTTCCTTTTTACTAGCTAGAATTAGACTCGCTAGATAATATGTACTAGGCGACAAGCGGTTAACTGATTAATGCAAGGCCCTATTGGCTGTAGCAGATTTGGCTTACACTAGCAAGACTGAAGATGTTAACCCTACATGGCAAGTAAGTAGAAGCAGAATCCGAAAACTCGAAGGAGCACTCGTCCTCGCGTGGTAGCGGTATCGTGAACCGCCCATCATTCTCGGGATATGAAACCCAATCTGATCGTGGCACATGCTTTGCCATTTTAATGTATGCATGTGGCCCACCCAGCACTGTGACAGTTTGTGGAGTTGACGGACGTCTCCATCCTGTACCCGCGGCCCATCAAGCTACCCAACTAACAGCCTGGCCATGTACCATCGTACCACGAGGAGACAGTACTGTTTCTCCTCAAGAGAAAAATCCAAAGCAGTCTGTTGGTGCCACGCTACAATTTGCATGACTTATGTGCTCAAGTCCAGTAGGTCGGGCATAAATACAGTAAAATTACCCATTCTCATTGAAGAGAATAACCACGTCGGAGATTGCAAAATTGAAAATTCACGAAAATTCATATTTTTACATTTCAAAAAAATATGAAAAAAATACATAGATACATGAAGGTATAATGCACACGTGTGTAAATTTTTAGGACAAATTACGTTGAAATGAGGCTGTGCAAAAAAGACAAATCTGAGGCCTTTTTACACATGACAATATTCATCCTCCCAGATCATTAATTTGTCTTTTTGTACATGTCGCATTTCAACGTATTTCATACTGAAATTTTACATACATACACCTGACATCCTTGTTTACTTGTACAAGTTTTTTCAGTTTTTTATGAAATCAAACATTTTAAATTTTGAATTTTTCAAAAATTCAGCCTCCATGGAGGCCGAGATCCAAAATGCCATTCTTGTAACCACACCAGTATCGAATTTATGCCTATGATGGTTTTTTAATACCGTTTCATGCCTATGATGGTACCGGTTAGGAGTAGAGATGACATAAAAAACCAATGGATAATGAAAGCATAGCAACATAACACAATTTCCACACACGGGATGAAATTTATTAAGTTACAACATCACCACATCACAACGACGGAAAAAATAGTAAACATGGACGAAGGAAAAAAAATTCTGGGATTTTTTTTCTAAAGCGGAATTAATGGGAAAAATCACAAACACTCTAGATGCGTATATATAAGCCTCCCTTCCGAAATGCCGTCCACCGTCGGCACTTTGTACCGAATCACAGTGGGGTTGCCACTCCGGTGCCGACCCACTCCATTTCGTACGTCTTGCTTCCTTTCTTGGATTCTTTGGAATCTCACCCATGCCGGGACATATTGTGCTTTGGAATTATACAGACAAACTATCTGAACAACATGTCATGAAAGTTTGTTTGGTATCTTGTGTCAACTGTTATTGCATCCCCAAAAAAGTTGTACTGCATTCAGCTCGATCATGTAGATATATCAGGTTCCTGGTCCGGCTCTCCGACTCTAGTTGGACCATGTAATACAACCCTTGGTCTTTTGCCCCAAGTTCGGCAAAAACCTACATTATTTTCCTGACGACATCGTACTGACTGCTTGGCCACGACTTATCTGGCCACACCGCCACATAGCCCTATGAGTCCATTATATTGGTGCACCTTTCCAATACTCACATTGTTGTCGCACAACTACCGTATGATGTTCTATGCATACACATCAATGTGCATCTTCTCGCAACACTTGTCGGTAAGAGTGTGATTATGGCCCGGTATGTGTTCACTAATGTACTGGCCATAGTGGTCTGAATGTTGCAGCTGTATCCTGGAGTGACATTCAGACCTGCATGATCTGGTGTTTGTATTCTTCGCCTTAACAAAAAAGACACGCAGGCTGTCATCGACATGTGGATCCCACACAGCAGATTTATGTTTTCTTAACTTCATTCATGCACTACTCACCGAGCATCCGCATATGATTTCCTGCATGCATTTTTTCCGCTCAACATCCAGTCTACTTTTGCTGAACCAAACACGAACTCTGCAATCCATCACAAAATTGTCGTTTTCGTCATTGCAGCAGTACAGAAGAGACCAACGCACTACTCGATTCCAGTCGAGAACACAAACACGTACACTCCTCTTTCGTCCAACTAAGTTACAGCAAAATCTTCCTTTGGCTGGAACTCCTGGATTGGTTACCGGCTAGCCCAACATGGACTGCCGCACAAGCCCCGGTGCCCCCATCCTGTACCCTTGGTATTGGCCTGACAATGTGGACGGTACACCTGCTAACCCTCTAACCATACCAACTTGATAAACTTGAGGAGATAACAGAGACGCACAGCAAACCCATGAAAATCATCCAAATCGCCAAGTAGAGATGCACAGCATGTGGTCATAACACCAAATACCAGGACTCTATGTATACGCCTGTTTATGCATGAACGACAATCGAAGCCTCAACACTGAGAAACATGCCTTCAAAGACAGGCACGAACCCTGCACATAGGAGATGCATTTCATTATTTCTGACAAAGGCATAGCACGACATGACAGGTACAATTAGGGCCTACACATATAAGTCTGTTCATATGCAAAGCAGCAATCGCTGCGAGCGCCACATCCACATAATCTGAAATTATGACGACCAAATTACCTCTTTGTACAGGCTGGTTCCTGAGGGTCGTCCCTGCCCGTTGACTGCCCGGAATCCGCTGCCGACAAGCTGATCGAAGGGCGTTCAACTTCATTCACAGTGCCAGCAGCTCCTGCCCCACCTCACCAATGCTGGACTCGGACGCTGCGTAAAACGGATCTGCGAGCGGCTGCACCGGCGGCGTGATCTCCTTACCCCAAACTGCTGCGGCGTGCCCTCTGCCTCCAATCTCTGGCAGTGGAAACCTAATAGAAGACCGCATCGAATAAGGAAGAAGCTACCAAATGATTCAACACCAGCGGAATCAAAATCGGGTTGAGAAAAGAATACCTGTCGACCGAATCCAAGAGGAATTCCAATCCACATCCGCCCGACGCCATGGCATTGGCTTCTCCATCGGGAAGTGCAAATAATGGGTTTCAATTTTGGGCTCACCTTTTTTTCCACTCGCCCCATTCAACGACGCCGTTCCCCACATTCGTCGGTACATGCATCCCTGCCCCTCCTGTTCCGCAGTAACTCCAACGCACGACGTTGGCGTTGGGCCCCAGTTTTTCTTTCGTACCGTAATCGTATTTCCTCGACCAATAAATGCTGACGAGACATGCGAGCCATACCATTGGTCGACGAAACGGGAGCATGCGAGCCCGTCCGCGCTATCGCCGCTCTCAAGCAGAATCCCTATTATTTATCCATGTCACTGAAATGAAAGGAAAAAATCGTTCAATTAGGTACCATGCATGCAACACCTCCACGGGCACCAGCAACGAGTGTTTTCACGGCATTTCGATGCATTCAGACTTCAGTGAGCAAAGACAGTTTCTGCAACAAATTCAGATAAGTCGCGCCGATCATGATGGTTGGAGCTCCCCGTATGTGGTGGTGGCTTCTTTGCACCTAAAATATACCGCAGCTACTTCGACCATGTCGAAGCACCTGCCGGCCTTC